AACTACAAAGGTTCCACATTCACGATAACAAATAAATGGTTCTTTGTAGGTTTTGCTGTAACTGAAATTAGAAATGAATTCTTTATGGACATAGGCAGTTTTGAAGAATCACCTTTCTTTTGATATGGAAGGACGAAATAGAGTTTGACTCAAAGCGTGTAAAATTTATAAAAATCAAACCATTTTAAGCATATTGCCCATTTTCCCATTACAAAGTCAGTAAAATTGTATTGTTTTTATCATACAAAATAAAAGCCAAAATTAAAGCCAGATTTTCATAGCAGACAAGAGATACGTCTCACAAACCAATTACATGTTTTAATTTTCCAAAAAGTGAAACAAAATACGAAATAATCTCCAAATATAAGATGGTTAAAATCAATAGAAGCAGATTAAAAACCCTACTAAACATTGCTGAAATACCAAGAATACTTTCAATAAAACAGCACAATAGTGAACAGGAAAACAATAAAAAGAGAACTTTCATAAAACTATCTGGAAAACAAACATTTGCAAGAATTTTCCATCTTGACAATAAGGTAAGAGTTTTCTGGGACACTTAGCCTGGAAGCCATGCATTCTTTCATACAATGACTTTTGCGATTACAATCACAGGAGATTTTCACTCTCTTCCTTCTTCTGTCTTTGAGTTTTAATAGATTTGTTTGAAGATATTTTCTTGCCTTAACTCCTTCTTCGGCTCATTCCACTGAGGCTCAAGTCCCAGATCTTTCCTCCCAATTAGTTATACATCAGCACTGAGTGTAACACTTGAAGTGTGGTCTCATTTAAGCCCTGAAGTTTTTGGGACTCTCTGTCTTCTGATGCAGGTGACTTCTAGGTAAAGATTAATCAGCAAACGAGCTGTTTGGCAGTCTGCACAGGCACATTCAGTCCGCAAAGTAGAACTGTGCTCCCTTCTGCATTTAGTGTTTTACCTAGAGGAGTTTGGTCAGTAAGCTGCAGGCTCTCAGGAGGTCTTCTTTTGGATTTAATCCAGTCACAATAACTAAGCTGCCCCCCTCCATACAACAGAGCCTAATTTCCTCAGCTGGTTTTGAGATGCCTTTAATTCTTCATTCTGTGTATTAATTTTTTATATGACATTGAGGCTACCCATGCATCTGAAACCAAGGGCAACTTTGAGCTGTTTCTAGACCAGAAGTGGAACTTTCCACCAACCTTTCTTATTCTAATATAGCTCAGATACAAAAAGGGACTGTGGGCTGTGGTACAGCCCTGTCCTCACCCTGTGGCAGGGACATTGTGAAAGTTGCTCATCCAATGACCAGCCCATTAGCCTTAACCTTCTTGGGCCCATGTCTCTAACCAGCCAAAGTAATCACCAAAGATCTTTGTTTGAGTCCAAGACAGCTCTCTCCAGAAGTTGTTCCCAGCTCTGTGGCCTTGACGCAGGGACAATCTAGCACAAACTCAACCTCAAATTTTCTGCTTCCAAAACATCTCTGTGATCTGGGAGATCAGGAATTAGTAGAAAATTTCTCTCTAAACTATGATATATCTCCATATTTTCTGAGTAGGGGGAATTTAATGGTCCCTGATATCTGGTTTCTATAGATGGAGACTGATTTTTTTTTTAAGGAGTCAGATAATGCACAAGACTCTTCCTCCAAGGCAAGGTTTGGTGCTCAGAGTTAAACTGTGCGATCGTGAAATATTCAAGAAATGCACATACACATCCCTTCATGATTACTGGTCAAGAGGTCTTTTCTAGTACTGAAAGAAAGCCCCTTCTGCTTATGAACTGCAAGTAACTCTTTTTTCTTGGAATTAAGAGATTAGGAGGAAAAAGAGGCACCTCCTAGCAGGAAAAATAGAGCCATTTCTGGAATTATGGAAAGGTCAGGTCCCAAAAACTGTCGCTGATAAGACCTGACATGACATGGTGCATGGCACAGGCAACATCCAGAGGCAAAGTGCAGGTGGCCCAACACATGAGAAATAGACACATGAGCATCGCTGATGATAATGACTCAACCCCAGGGGAGCAGCAGTTCCAGTCCAGGCCAGTGCTAGGACAGCTTGTTCGGTTCTAGCATCTGCAACTGATCTTGAGATGTAGGCTCAGGAGATTTGGGTCAGCATCTTTAGAACTATTCAGTACCACCCCATAGCTACCACCACTACAGGTCTGACTTTCAGAGCAGCTCTGGAGAGGACTTTGTCTGGAGTAGAAATAATTCATGAAGGGGGAAGGGGACAGGGCAGGGACAAGAAAGGCAAAGGAGGAAGGGAAAGAAGGGGAAAAGAGTAAAGTCAACCCTTCTATTAAAGTCACAGTAAAACTGGAAACAATCAGAGGAGTCAATCCTTATTCAGAAAAGTGCCCTGCTGACACTGGGGGAAATTCATGTGAAGCTAAGGCTCAAAGGACAAAAAGGAGTCAGGGCATTAAGATCTCCTGGACGAAGCGAAAAATATCCCCCAGGCGCGCTTCGCCATACACTGGTAAGTCTGTGTAAAGTTGGTGGTGAGGTAAACCAAATAATTAATGGCTATGCAACCACCACTCAATCATTACATGGCCCGAGACCCAAAAGTACAGGCAGCTGGTGATAAGTATTTTAGACAGCAGCCTTCCTATCACTTCCAAATTTATACATTTGAACTTCAGAACCCAGGGCTGTTCTTCACTGTTCTACCTGGGCAAGCAAACAACTCCATGGAGTCCAACACCCATAAGAACGATGCTACATTGTTTTTAAGATTTTGGTGCTCTTGTTCATGTCAGTCTTTTGATATTTAAACATTTCAGATTTTAAAATATTTCTTCTCACATAAGCATGTGAGCTACTTAATCTGCAAGCTGAGATCAAAATTTTCACTTTTTTTGCTGTTTTTACTAAGATGTTTCAAATTTTTTGCTCCACAAATACTAAATTCAGGGAGCAGTAAACAGGGATGAAACGAGTTTATTTTGTCAACTAAAACCAACATGCTCCATAGCCATAAAAATTATCTTCACGTAAAATCCAGTCTGGCAGGTGGACCCGCCCTTTGAGTCAAAGGACCCATCAGTAGCTGCTTTGAGTCTTCAGTGTCTCAATTCGCAGTGGGTGAACCAATCAGAAGGGACTTAGACCTGTGTCTGCTGATCCGAGGTTTAGGTGATACACAGAGGTGGCAGAATTTCACCTCAGTCCTGTTCTCAGCCTCTGTCTAGGCCACATGCGCTCGGTCAGTGGGCTGGGAAATGTTTGTAGTGAGGAATACAGGCTTTTAGTGTTCCCGGCCCAGGTTGGAAAACTCTGTGAATGGTGCCACACTTACGGCTCAATGTCAAGGATAAGATCCCAAGAAGAACCCCCTCAAAGTCCTGCTAAACACAGGTCATCACGCTGTGATCTTGGTTATCTTCAGAGGGATCCTTAGCCCTGCCAACCATTCCTTCACCTGCACTGACTTGTCTGGCAGCCACACTTGAGCCCTATCTTTAGAAGAAAACATGAGGGTCCCAATTGCAACTTTATCATCATGTATTCCGGGTCTTCTCGGTAGACTTAATAAAATACAAGCAGATAAATCACACGTAGTCATGGGCGTCTTCAAAGGCTTCAAAATAACACTAAACGTAAACCATTCCACTTTCATATCGCAAAGGCAACCTTAAACTATGCCTGGCCGTTCCATCCAGGCTGTTCAGCGATGTTGGCTTCCCTCCTCCCTGGCACACGGTACGGTCATTCCTCCGACCCTCCTGAACAACCCAACGTGGGCGAGCGACTTGCTTTGGCCTGCTGTGAGCAGAGGGAGACTCCAGGAGGAGGCTGTCAGAGCCGGGCCTTGGCCTCACGCTCATCCCGCCCCCCTCGCAGAGCTGGCTCATGCCGTCAGCCCACGACCCTCCAAATGACAGCACCGCTCTGCAGAAACACACGGGGAGCGACAATGCCGGCGCCGTTTTAAATCAGTGAGCTTTGGGAATTGTTTGTTGCTACAAAATAATCTCGTTGATTCACTGTAACTTAACTGAAATCCCTTTCCATTCCAGGAAAGAAATGTTGCCACACTGAGCACCACGGCAAAAATTAACACAGAGCCAAGGAAATGTGGGGCTACGTCAGTTAAATGATGGCACGTGTTTAATAGGTGGAGGTACATATATTGACAGCCACTTTCTAAAACATACTTTTCTCCCTCCCACCTCCCCCAGAAAAACTCAGAGCAATTGGAAAGTCTGAATTTCTCAAACTCCCAAAGAGAAAAGTTTCCCCCATTTTAACTCATTTGTCGAAAACATTTACAGAGTTCCACTTCTTTTCCGAGACCGAGTACATTAATCAAATGCAGAACTTCAAAGGGCTTCATTCTGAGGGAGCCAAGAGACAAATAAATTAGCTGCCAATGGCTCCTTTGTAATTGAAGAGGGCTAGGCCCACCCAAGGGAAGAGGACTAAGTCAAGAAAGGAAAGCACTGGGGACCTTAAACAAACCAAAAAGCCATCCCATATCCTCCCGTTTCCACCGGAGTCAAGTATGAGCCTCGCTTATGTGTTTGTTTACTAATAAGAAACATCTTGCATCTGGTTCTTATGTGCTACAACCATTAAAAGAAAAAAGGATTTGTAACCCAGAATACATGCTTGAGTATTATGCTCACATGCGGTAGCTTGTGAACCTGATCATACACGTTATACTTAACGACCTACAGAAAAGTTTCCCTTCGAAAACACTGACTCTGGAAGGTTTTCTTCTTCATTGCAAAAAAGAATCACTAGAGGTTTCTCACTGAAGTAAGTAAGAACTGTCCGTTTTTAGTTTGCAGAGTTTTAACTGGTGACTCAGAGAGGGATGATGTCATATGTTATCCTACAGTTGCTGGGATGGCTCTCTCTGCCCACCCCAACCCTCTCTTCCCACCCTCTCTCAGCTACTCTGCAGCCAGCCAGGAGCAGAGGTCCTCACCAGCAGCGGGTGGGACAGGAAGTTGGACAGCTTGCGTCTGCAGAGGGACCCCTAGTGATTTCCCACTCCGGTCCTGGCATTGTTCCCCAGAAGCACACACACACACACACACACAGCTCCCATTGTTGCAGCCTTCCCCGTCCCACTGATCCTAATATGGAATTCGGCAGGAAACCCATGATTTCCTGACACTCTGCAAGCTGGAGGAAGCAAGGGGAAAACTCCATTAAAAAGCCCAGCTCTCCTCCATGTTAGATATGAAGTGGGAAATGGGGACGATTTAGCACATTTCCACTGTGTCTTCAGCCAGCCTGGAAAGGGGAAGAGCAGAGTGAAGCCCTCGGCTGCCGAAATTTCTAAACTGCCAGGACGCTGCTGGAATTCGGTGGAAATGAGGGCTTCCTAGCTCGGACTAGGAGGGGAAAGGGACAGGGCCTGTTCACCATGCCCCCAAGCCTGTGGCATTTCTTCCCCAGGACGGTGAGCGGCGGAGCCCACGCAGGCCGGGCACTCGCCGGTGTGATCTAAGGCGGCCCGAGGAAGGCAGCGCAAACTTCCCGGCGCTTCGCGGGCTCTGGAAGCAGCGGCTGCTGTCAGAGCAGCGGGAGCCGCGAGAATGAACTGCAGGGACGGAGACCGCGGCGGCGAGAAGAGGATGCTGAAGTGCGTGGTGGTCGGGGACGGCGCAGTGGGGAAGACCTGCCTGCTCATGAGCTACGCCAACGACGCCTTCCCCGAGGAGTACGTGCCCACCGTGTTCGACCACTACGCGGGTAAGACCGGAGCTCGGGCGCCGGGCGGGAGGCCGGGCGGGCGCTCACGTGTGGCTTGGCCGGAATGGTGCAGCTGAGGGTGTGTGCGCCGTTCAGGGTTCGACCACAAAGAAGTAACTCGGCAAAACACCCCAAGCTGTCCTCTAGACTTCGGGGCCAGGGATCTTACTCAAAATTTGCTTGAGAAGTGATGGGCTTTGCATTGCGAACATATTCAAATGCGGTGTACCTGCCTCGTAATTCTTCCCTGTCAAAAACAGAATGAAGAAACCACTAGTCACACAACTGATGAAAGAAATGGCCTTGCCACATTTTACCTACTCACTTCGTGCTGCCATTCACAAATGAAAATACTTAAACTAATATATAAAATACTAATTTTTTTCTATAACACGTGGTGCTGAAATACTGTACTTTCATTTTCCTGGGGTTGTAAATGGGGAGCAAAAGCATTAAAAGTTTGTAAACATCAATTAGCCAATCTGTATCTTGCATTAAAAGAAACATTTTTAATTGGTGTGTTTTAAGAAAAAAAAATAACAAATGAGACCTGAATGATTTTAAAGTATGTCTGAAAAGGATAAGTGTAACATATGTGAAAGCATGACAGTGAAGAAACTGTAATCAGAACTTACCGCTTTCTGTGGACTTTTTGTTTTCCAGTGTTCTAACGTTTGTAGGTGTACTTGTCAGCACGTCATCACTGTCTAAATTGTCCTATTTTGACTGACTTTTTCTCCTAATTTCTGAAACAACTCTTACTAAGTTTCTCATGTGTGAACTCATGAAATTCTTCAAGCTTACTGCAACCTAAGTTTTAGGACTGGTATATGTAGACTTGATGATTGGAGAGCAAGTTATCGGAGATTTGTTTTGTAAGATTTCTCTTTCTTCGCCTTGGCTTTGGATCAGGATCAGCAAAGAGGAAATGGCCCACAGGAAGCCAGCAGGGGTGTTTACTTTGCTCTGTTACAATTTGAAGTCCTCCTCCTATGGGAACTGGTGTCTTATCCAGAGCTAGTTGGTCACCTAAGTCTTCCCTTCCTCCTACATGTTTATGATTTATGACAATATTGCATAGCAGACAGGGACAGTACTATAGTGAGAATAGCATCCATTCGAAGCACATTTTCTACATTTGTATAAATTATTTTTTAAATTTTTAACACTGGATCCCTTAAGCTTTTAAAATATAGTAACCATGCCCAGAGAAGAACATTTAAATGAGGACAGAATAAAGAAAAAAATACAGATAGATTTTTCTTTTGAGGAAAAAAAAAAAAACAAATTTATGGCTCTCTGCCTTGAGAAAGTTCCTATGATTCTGGTCCCAAAGGCATCATAGCAAAAGTTATTTATTCTACATTCTTTTTCTGCCAGGAAAGGAAACATGACTAGTGTCTTATTTTAAAAATTTTTAGAGCAAAGGTGGAACTCAAACTCAACTAAAAGGAGAAACTTCCAATGTTAAAAAAAAAAATAGATATCTGAACCACCATCTATTCCGTGAACCACGTACAGTGGTGTTAAGAAGAAAGAGGATAAACCTGTGTGTAGAAATAAAGTCAATTGGTATTTTTAAAAACTTTAGAGAGCAAACCAAAGCTGAAGCACAGTTAGATTCTGCTACAACTAGATTATTTTATATTTCAATTATTTAACACTTTGATCATCAAGCACCTCCAAGACTCTGGCTACTGTATTACCTTAGCTTCCAAGATACCACAGCCACTGCCCTGAGAGCAATTCTTTGCACATAGTACACACCCCTAAACGTGCTTGCCTTGACTTACACTTCAAGCTTTTTAAGTATGTAATCATCCCATGTGCTTTCAGTGAGGCTAGAAGAAAAATGAAGGCATGAGCCACATACCTCTAGGGTCATAACGAAGTGCTCATTTCTACTAGCAGAGAGATATTCTCCATCACAAAACACTAGTTGCACACATACACACACACACCCTCATATATGCACTGGTTGAACACAACCCTATAGGTGTTAAATGAGAACCTGAAATTAATTATAAAATAATTAAATATCTCTTCCATTTGGACCCAGCCTTGCTGGGTCTTATTCCTTGGTTCCACTGACCAACTTGGAAGTGACTACCTGTAATTAGGTTTCTGGACCTTTAGAAAACTTCACTGAAGACTTCAATTTTCCTTTTAAGGTTTTCCACTAATAACTACCCACTGCAGGAAAGTAGATGTATAATAATAAGAATGAAAGTACAGCACACTACTCAAGAAGACAAACTCTGAAGCCGGATGATCCAGTTTTAATTCTGGCTCTGCCATCGTCTCTGTTGCCTTGATCAAGTTACTTAACTTTTCTGGGCCTCCATTACACCAAGGTAAAAACAAGGACAGGAAAGGTATTTGAACTGTTCATGAGAAAAGAATGAATTAACATAGGTAACATTTTTGGTACTTCATATGTGATAAGTATTAGTCTTTTTGGTAGCTGTTAGCATTAAGAATAGGTCTGTACACTTGCATACAGCTATCAAATTAAAATATAATTAAAAGATAAAGGATGCAATAAGAAAAAAATATAATTCCACGAGTATCCTCTTGAAGAGTACTATTGGCCTTATGAAATAGTTACCAGTATATTGATCATTGATGACTAAGTCTACAAGGAGTAATACTAGTAGGATGTTAACTTACAAGGGGAAATATTACTTTTGCATGAGGGGTGGCAGGAAAATCAACCAAATGGAAAAGTGAAGGTTTTTAAAGTTTTATGAAATCTTGGTTTTATCTCTTCCTCCCAAATAACAGGATCCAAAAGTACTGTATATCTCCCAGTAGCTTTCCTTAGCTCTGTGAGGGAGCTCCTTGCCCTTTCTCATATCCGTCTCTGGAAATGTGTTTATATTCCTAGGGCCATCATCCACCGTGGCTAACAGTGTGTGTTCTTCCTTATTTCCCATTCCTACCATGCCATGAGCTCCTTAAAGAAAAGGTTTGCCCAATCCAGTCTGATTCTTGGTTTCTTAGAAGCTGTTATAAAGGCTTCCTTATATACTTTGTTCACCTGGTTTCTGGGGTGCCACATTATCCTGGTTCTATTCCACTCATTAGTAAATCTCTCTCCATTTCCCCTGTCCACCTCCTTTATCTCATTACAACCCCGTCACTGTTCAGTCCCTCGGGTCCTTTTCCTCATTTAAGTTCATGTTATGGTTAATCATATCTAGTCACATGGCTTAAAATATGATTTGCATACTGATCATTTATATCTCTACCCCCTAAACCCCAGAACACTCATATATTCAACTGTCCCTGTGGCGTTTAATGGGCATCCAAACTTAATTCGTCCTAACAGAAGCTTTTACTTCCCCCAATCTACTCTTTCTCTGGCCTGCCCTATATAGGAACATGACCATTATCTTCAGTGGTGATTGAAAACAAAACTCTGGAGTTCTCCCTTATTCCTTTTTTCCTATGACAGCATTCTCGTCCTTCTCCATTCACATATTAGTATTATCTTTTTCTCCTCCAAAGTCAGCTCAAGAGTCAGCATATAGTACTCTACCTCTTGCCATCACCGCCACTGCCTTTTCCTGGGCAAACCACCATCATCTCTCGTAATCACCTCCCAGTTCCCTAGTTCCAGCCTTGACCCCTGTAGTCAGTTCTCCACACCAGCTCCCAGAGAAAATATCTGCAGTCACAACTCTTCCCATACCGTCCCTAACACTCACCCCCCATCCTTCATTGTCATGTACAAGGCACTCCATGACTTTGTCCCCGTTCCTGTCCTACCTCACCTCCTGACACTCTCCTCTTCCGTGTTTCTGCTGTAGCCACACCTGCCATCTCGCTGTTCCTCAAACACACAAAACTCCTTCCTTCCTTCAAGATTTTGCACTTGCTCTTACCCTACCCTACTATTATCTTCAAGTGACCACATTATTTAACATGTGTTCATGCACTTACACATGTACCACACTCTCACTCTGACCTTGTACCACCTTTCTTCACAATACTCAACACTCCGTGACATTATGTATTTAAATTATTCCTAACTTCTAAAAGCAGAATCTTAATTAGATTCTCAGTAGTTCTTGAATAAAATTAGCTTATCTTAATTATCTTGGTCACTTCTGAATTTAGATAGTTCCTGGTCCATTAAAACTTTGATGAATAAATAAACAAGTTGCTAGGCCAATAGGTATCTCTTTATATGTGAATATAGAAAATATTTATTACATTTACTCTCTTTTAACTATCTTGTTCACATTTTAGATATCTGTGTTAATCTCTACTGTAATTGTGCTAGAGTATTAAGTTGTCTTGACCTAAATGAACAGGGTTGCATCTATTGAACAGAATAGTCCCACATTATGTAAATGTCACTTGGAATAGTCTTCCCTTGCCTTACATTCAAAAGCCAACCTAAATGTTGGGTGGCCTACTCGAACGCTTCTAGCACTTACTGCAGAGCACTTTCCAGAGTAACCCGAGTGTAACTGAAGGCTAATCTGAGCAGCAGGGGCAACATGATGAAGGCAGAAGGGTCGCTCATGTGTTTCACAAGTGTATCTAAGAAATATCTCTTGATTCATCTTGCCACCCCACTTCCAGGGAAGGCTCAAGATGTTTTAGAGCTTTTGCATCTTTAACTCTGGGTTTTGTAGCAGAGTCTTCAATGGTATAATATTTTTGTCAATTAACATTTCACATGACATATAACTTCAAGATAAAACTTTAATTTGATTTTAGTCGGGTTGTATATTGGTTAGATTGCATTCATGACTCTTACGTTAGCGTAATGGGTGTGTGAAAAAAGCCAATTCCAGTGGAAGCCTGTTTACAATATGCTTGATTCACCATTTGCCTCATCTTCTATATTGAAGCAGAATTTGTCTAAGAGTCTTTCTTCCAACACTCATCTCTCCTAGGGCTTCTTTGTCAAAAGCCATTGAATTTGGAAATTTACTTCAAGCCAATATTTTGCAAACCCAAATGGCCTATGCAGGAAGTCACACAAT